AGCTCTTGAGAAGGGCTGTTGGATTTGAAAGTATAACGTTAAATGGAGTAACTCCCGTAAATCAGGAGGAAGTACGGGTTTGTCGTGTTCGACCACGCGTCAGTGAAATCGCCCTCCGGTTAACATCTAAAATCTCAACTGTAAAGCAACCACAGACGAGCCCGAAGGCACTTAGTCGAGCTGCTATGCTAGCACATCAAGCGATGAAGGCGTGTATTCTTCAGTCATATGCTCGGTCTTACCTTTATCAGTGCTTGTACCGTGGAGGTCCCAGCCAACTCGTTGCTGCCGGTCAACTGGCCACTCGACGTCGTTGAGCACACGCATTTCGTCACTGGCGACGAATTGTTACTCAGCTGCGACTTCGCTGTGATCGAGCTCAACAACGTATCAAACGCTGTGCTCCCTCTTGGGCCCATTCCAGAGCTTTTCCAATCGTCGATACAGAAGGTAAATACGCCATGGGCGAGAAGTTCCACCAGCTCAAACTTGTTGCAAGCAGCTTCCACATCCTAAAATTGTAGAATTTGAACAAAAATTAAGAATTAATCAGCTGCTGGATCCGGTGACTCCATCAAACTATCGAACACAATTGTCACATCCTCGTTTCTATCAGCTAATGAATTGTGGAATGAATTGCAAGGATTATTGGGCTCAGAGAAGAAAATCTGGCATTCCACAAAAAGAAACACGATGGTGAAGCTGCTCTGCGCGGTGGTTGGAGTCGGGAGCGTCTTCTCTGTGGACATTGAGCTCAGCGAGATGGTCAGTGATCTGAAGGAGAAGATCAAGGAGAAGAAGCCCGGTTTGATCTACTTTGATGCAGATCTGCTGAAGCTGTATCTCGCGCGGGAGGGTGACACTTGGCTGTACTCGCGAGGCGCAGACATTAAGGCGGTTAAGGCGAAAAAAATTCCAGATCGAATTAAAAACCTCATGCAAGAGCACTTGCTACTGGACGAGGCGTGCAGACTCAACAATGATGAATACTTCGGTGACAACCTCGAGCAAGTAGACAGAGACATCCATGTGCTGGTGGACTGTCCGGATGAGCCGGATCGAGTCATCAAGTACAAGCGTAAGTGCGTTATTCTCCCCCACAACTAATAGTGTAACATGATTTTAATGCAGCACTACTTGATGATGTCAGGACAGGATGGATTCGATGGTGCTTCTACGGAGAATTGGTTCTCATGGTACTTGCCGTGGTCTTCTCTGCAGTCGTTGTTTACTGTGGAAAAGGAGAAACACGCGTAAGAGCTACAACATTCACTGTAGCTGATTGCGTGCTGGCATCATTGATAGGGGTAATTGGGACCCGCAAACAACGCATCAAGTCAAAGATAGCACTTGCGTACAGACGTTGGGGGTATGAGTCGATTCCTTGAGTGTGTCACGGTATACGGCTGGATGAGGGA